TCAGGTGCATACCTACTGCTGGGTATATTAGCATACCATCATCGTTGCTTTTTAGTATTTTTCCAGGAGTAATTTGTAACATTCTTGTCAAATTAAGAGATATGATGATGTTTTGGATGTGTTTGCAATACATGGTATTAGGTGGTGCTTGTTGATTGGTATATTTGCACAAAAAGAGATTGCTTTATTAGATGGTATCACTTGAATAAATGGTGGTTGGTTGGATGGTAATTTCATACAATTGTTATATCAGTTATTTGTTGTAATGGCAGGACTTGGTTATAGTTTTGTTATAACCTTGTTAATACTACTTGCTATGGATCAAATTCCTGTATTGAAATTGAGGGTTAGATCTAATGAGGAAAATAATGGAATTGACAAGTCAGAATTAGGTGAAATGGGAGATAACCCTCAGGATGAAAGGATGAGAATTGAGCCAGAGATGAATGATACAGATCAAAGAGTTATTCCATAAAATTAAATCTTTTTATTTTGAAGAAAGGTTTTATACTCTATTATTAAATAATTTTTATTTTATTTATGAAAATAATAATCCCATTGCCCCTAATGTTAATAATGATAATCTCAATATTAATGATATAATAATAGTAATAATAATATTATTAATGATAATCTTAATAATAATAATAACATGGTTGATTGGTAATAGTTAGCATTTATTAAGCAACAAACAAAAATAATAATAGCAGTGAAAATTCATTCATTTTTTAGCCTGTACCAATTTTGTCATAAATCTTGGTGATATGTTTTCAATGAGAAATTTTATTGTTTTTAATCTTGATAATAATAATATTTTATTACTTTTAAACAAATTACAAAAAAATTAAATACATATAAATATTATAAATAAATAAATAACTTGCCTTAATTCTAATTGTTTATTCACAACTTAACCTCAAAACTAATTCCACACCTAAAAATCATCATTATATTATTCTATTTCCATCTGTAATATACATATAAAAACAATAGCATACCAATAACAACAGTGATATTAATAACTACATACCCACAGCCAGACACTGCTTGCGGATTATCTATTACTTGGAATTGTGACCCGATTAATTCCTCTGTATAATCTATTTTTGAACCTTTAATTAATCCTAAAGATATTTCATCTATTATCACTTTTGCTCCATTCTTATCAAAAACTCTATATAATAACATAACATTTTTTTTAGATTGTAATAATAAATTTTATATAATTACATATATGACAACTTACACATCATCTTCTTTTAATGAATTAGTTTTCACTAAATCGTAAAAATATTGAAACCCATGACATCCACCAGAATCTACTCTTATTCTCAATGCATTACTCTTATTGTTGTTATGATCATTGTCATGCTTTGTTATCGACAAAAGTTTCTTTTTATTATAAAGCATTAGAATTCCTCATTATATATTTCAAAAGCAAATATTATAAAATAAAAGATTATAAAAACCTTAACAGCCCGATCTGTAATTTCAATTCTATTGTCATTTTTTATTTGTTCTTTTTGTAGTCCTTGCTTAAATTGCGTAAAATTTCTTTGCGAGTAATAACCATCAAAAAATTTTATTTTTGTTGATTCATTCTTTACATTTCTTGTTGAATAAGAAGAATGCCTTAAATTATTGTAAACTTGACTCTTGTAAAATCTAAACATTACGAAAAAATCAATTTATTATTATTATAATCTAGACGTTACACGGACGTATGTAGCACTTGATATTAATATTACAGGTCACTCCTGTTATAAGGACAGCTCGTTATAGTGACATTTTTCAAAAACACACTTTATAAATATTAATTTACTCCCGTTATAATGACATTCATTATGTATCCCGTTATAAGAGTATAAGGACAATTATCCCGTTATAGTGACATCCGTCATAAGGACAGTTATTGATAAAAGTTTCTTTTTATTATAAAGCATTAGAATTCCACATTATATATTTCAAAAGCAAATATTATAAAATAAAAGATTATAAAAACCTTAACAGCCCGATCTGTAATTTCAATTCTATTGTCATTTTTTATTTGTTCTTTTTGTAGTCCTTGCTTAAATTGCGTAAAATTTCTTTGCGAGTAATAACCATCAAAAAATTTTATTTTTGTTGATTCATTCTTTACATTTCTTGTTGAATAAGAAGAATGCCTTAAATTATTGTAAACTTGACTCTTGTAAAATCTAAACATTACGAAAAAATCAATTTATTATTATTATAATCTAGACGTTACACGGACGTATGTAGCACTTGATATTAATATTACAGGTCACTCCTGTTATAAGGACAGCTCGTTATAGTGACATTTTTCAAAAACACACTTTATAAATATTAATTTACTCCCGTTATAATGACATTCATTATGTATCCCGTTATAAGAGTATAAGGACAATTATCCCGTTATAGTGACATCCGTCATAAGGACATGTCAGTACAACGAGAGAACCAATCAAATCACTCAAGTCACTGTGACAAAATCAGATAGCTAATTATTTACGTTTTTAATGTTTTATTTAATATTACTAATACTAAACACATTAAACACAAATTACTCACATCAAGTTTATCATTATTAAAACTAAAATTAACAATAATCAATTCGCAAATTGTTGTTGTGGTGACAAAGTATCTATTATTTTCAAGAATGGGTTTGTGAATTGTAACAAACTATCTTTACGTTTTTGATTGATCTCTTATTGTTTTTTGATGATGATGAAATACAGAAATGAAATATTTTACATTTTTGACTTTTTTTGATGACGTTTTCAAACAAGACTATCCCTTAAACGAATTTTGGTCCAAATCTGGTTCAAAAATTCCCAATTGTGACTCAAAAATTATAAAAAAAGATATTTTCACCACAATATTTCTTATTTCATAAATGATATTCAAAACCCCATACTTCTATTAAAAAAATTTATTTGGTAAAATGTAAAATTACCCATTTTTTTGTTATTTTCTTGCAGATCACGTTTTTTGATAGTAAAAATTTGCGATACAGTTATATATACCTTATATCACCTTCACTAAAATTATTAGCTAGTATGTAAACACTACTAATAGAACTTGTTGGCAGATCAAATTACACGATTTATGTCTAAGAACCATAGGTCTAGCATCAATAATTCAAATTTTCCATATGGTGAACTTTTTAAAAAAATACAAATATTTCTTTACTTATAAAAAATCTTAAATATGATTCCAATATGTACGATTTTTTAAAAATAAATTTTTCAGAATATATGTTAATTAAAAATGTAAAAATATTTAGGGTTTGTTAGTAGTAGTAGTATTTTAAGAGGGATTGAATTTACTCGGGAGATCTACACAAATTTGGACCAAAAATCCCTGTACGTTTAAGGATAAAAGAATTATGAACTTACACTAAAAATTTTTGCAAATTTTTAAAAACGTTTTTTCTAAATCTTTTAATCATTAATGATTATAATTAAACTTTTGCTAAATTGTTGATTTTAAAATAAATCAATAATTTCTAAAAAAATTTTATAATCATTTTTCAAGTCATGTGACTTTACATGAACTCCCGTTATAAGAACATCTTGTTATACGGACTTTTTTTGCTTGTCCCATGAGTTCCCTTATAACGGGAGTGACCTGTATTAATAATAATTAGCATTAATATGAAACAGTGAGGGTTGACTGAATTTGCCTTACTCTAGTTTATTAATAATAATAATGCGAAACAAGCATAACCGATAACATTCTTTATTTTTCTATGTCTGAGAATCAATGTAACCGATAACATTTTTTTCTTCAAATAATATAAAAGCGGTGACCTTTTCCATTTTCTATCAATGCGAATCTATGGTGAGGCGGTCACATTTTTTTTTTAAAAGTACTTTCGAATCATAGTGTTAAAAAAAATTCTGTAACAATAATAAATAATTAATGACGCGTTTGTCGATCAAATAAAATTTGTCATCTTTTTTTTTTAAAAAAAAAGTCGTTTGTGATAAATAAAAGAAGAAAAGAAAAAGAACTAGCCGATATTGCTGGGTAAAGTACATCACAAGAGTGTTGGCGGCGGTTATCGCCCTCGTCGTCACTCTAGTTATTATAAAAAGAATGGTGGTGGTTGCGATCATTGCAACTAGTTAATACGTAGAATATTTGGAACTAGTTTCCCTGAAGTTATATCTATTAATAAAATATACTACTTTTCGTGTTTATTTTATTAACTTGTGTTTCAAAAGGGAAGCTAGAAGAAAGACCTCCAAGACACTTTGGTGTCTCTTGTATGGAGATCCCGTTACTTCTGCTTTTCCTATTGACATTAACAATAGTGGTGCCATGTCCATCGGACGCTTGAAAGAAAAAATCAAAATTTCTAGCGACACGAAAGCAAAAGATATTATACTATGGAAAACGAACATCGCGTATGATGAAAATATAGAGGTAATAGATATTGAACTTGAACTTTCTGTATTTTCAAATTTTTCAACATCTATTATTTTACTACAAATGCAAACAACCTTCTTAGCACGAATGGTATGGGGATATGGGTGTTTTAAAAGTCACTCTTTACGAAAATATGGTAAAAATAGTGGTTTAAGTGTGTTACCTAATATAATAATAATCGACCCCATTTTACTTTTGAAAAAAAAACATATTATTTGTTTAATAAGATTCTACATTAATTTGTAACTTAGCATAGAATTTATATAGGTTTTAAAAAATGTAGATTTTGCATTTACACCTCAGGAAATTCAATACAATAAAGAAGCAAAAAACTCTTCAATTTATTTAAAGAATCTGAAGTTCTTAATATTTTCAAAGTTTTATTAACTATTTACATTCATGGAAGTTCTTGTTTAGCTATAATAGTAATAATGATAAAAATATCAGTTATCCAAAGTTTGACAATTGAAAACTTATTATATTAAATTTTATTTATACATCACCATAATTATCATCATCATCACTATTTTCTTTATTAAAAGATTCTTTTAATTTTTCCTTCATACCTTTAAATAATTCCTCCATTAATTTACGATCTTTCCAATCTTTATTTAAAATTTTTTGGCCCCTTTTCATGAATTCCAAAGCCAAATCCACTTTATTACATAAAATTAAAGATTTAATAAAAACTATCCAAGTATTAAATGTTGGATTTAATGATGATTTTATTTTCATTAAATCTTTCCAGATTAATAGTACACTCTGCAAATCTCGATGTTTAGTATAAATATCTGCTAGTATTTCAAAAGTTGTTAAATTTGGTTTAATATTTAAATCAATCATTTCTTTAAGACAATTTTTCACTTGATCTAGTTTTTTGAATCTACCAAAACCTTTAATTAAAACATTAAAAGTTGAATAATTTAATTCAATCTTCTCATTATTATTAAGAACATAATAATACCATTCTATTGCCTTTCTAATATGTGAGTTTATCAAGTAGTCATATGTTTTACTACTATTCTTATTTTTATTTGAATAATGCTCAGCTATTTTAAAATTGCCAGATATCATAAGATTAATTATTGCTATATCATTATTAATATTCCATCTTTTTTTGATTTCAACATTAAAAAAATTTTCAGCCTCTTCAAATCGATTCAATTCAAAATAAGTATTTAATATTATGATAAGAGATTTTCTTGATGGTGTTAAGGTTTTTTTTATCATCAATTCATAGATTTTCAATGCTCCATTTATATCTAAATCATTCCGGATGTATTGAATTATCAATTCATCAAAAATTAAAGGCTTTAGATCATAAAATTTTATTTTCAAATAATCTTTAAAAACCATTTCAAAGCCATTAACTGATCCAAAATCACCAAAAATTTTGACAAATGATAAATAAATGTCATCATCTAATTTAAATCTTCTTTTCTTAAACAATTCATAAAGTCTTTTAAATTCTTTTAAATTCCTTTTATCTTTATAATAAATAAATGAATCTACTATTATCTTTAATGTTGTATTATTTGGTATGATAGTTTTTGGATGTGTTTCATTTTGTTGTAAAATAATTCTCCAATTGTCCCAAATACCATCATACCTTTTTAGTTCAAAATATGTTGAAATTATTAAATTATAAATTTCAATATCATGAGTTATTTGCAATTTTATAAGATCCCTTTTGGCTCTTTCCATTTGTTTCAATCTTTTGTCAATCTTTGATGGATCTGATAACCCTTTTTCCTTCAATAACTGTATTAAATCAACATAATCCAAATAAAGTAAACCTTTATAATTGTTTATATCATCTTTCTGCAAATAATATAAATCTAATGCTAATTCTAAATCTTTATTTGATATTGCATTTCTAAGAAGTTTTGGAAATTGATTGTTATTTAGGTCATCAAGTTTCAATAAAGAAGATTTGTTTTTTTGTGAATTTTGACTAAAGCTAGCCAGCTTACATTTATTAATGTAATAATAATTATAATAGTAATGATAATTATTATTATAATCATAGGTTTTTAGTGTATAAATGAATAATGTCCTTGTTCTATTTATTTTTTGTAAAAATGAATGAATTTTTAAAAATTTCATCATTTTTTGAAACCGTTTTTAAGTATTTTGTCACGTAATACTAATATAAGCCCGGTTTTTTCAATATTTCCAAAATGTGATTATTATAATCTTTTTGAAAAAAAAGGCGGAATATGTAATAGCTTAGTTGCTGATCCATGAATGAATTCGGAGCACACCCCCAAATCTGCGTTTCCTCCATAGCAAAGTCTTAAATATCACAGTACTTTAATTTTTATATAAAATTATTTTTGAGATTATATATAAAAGTCGTGTCACAATCTATCTAAAGGGAACAATACTTTTTGTATAAAGGTTGACAATTGGCAATTCTTACTAGTAATTTTCGTAACGTAATTTCACTATTAAATGTAGATCATTTGCTCCCGGTTGATAGAAAACCACTTTACATATAAATTCGTGTCACAACAAAATTTTAATTTTTAATTAAAAAACTGCAAATCAAACAAATATTTCGATTCTGCAATAATAAATAAACATAATAATAATTTAACTTTTAAAATAACAGGTAACATGACATTAGAAGAAAACAACAGCAACAGCAACAAAATTAGTAACAGTGATATAAATAATAACGCTTTTAATACCAACATGTCAAAAAGAAATAGTACTTCAATTGAAGAGCGTGAATGGTCTTTTGATAGAGAAAGAATTGGTAATGCAGGGAAAGGATTTGGAAATTTAATGAATGATAATGGAAAGCAAGGTATATTGGTGGCATTCTATTAATCCACTTTCGTACTTTTATTAATTGTTTTTAATATTTAACATAATTGCAATTTTTTATTAAATTTAGAATCCATTGCTGATTTGATTGCAAGTGAAAAGGATGAAGATGTAGTTAAATTGGCAAAATTCACACAAAGACATGCAGATCAAATGAATAAATCACGTTTATCTGTAATAGAACATGAGAAATATCCCAAAGAGAATAATAGTTGCTCTAGTAGTAAGTAGTTAATTATATTTGTTCTTCATTAGTGATATATGTATTTTTGTATTTTATATTTATTTTATAATAATTAGCTTGTGAATTTATTAAAAAAAAGGGTTTAATCCATCGGATGCTACTTTAAATAATTCTCGAATGTGCAAACAATTTCTTGAAACCAAATATGATGTTATTTTTAAATTAATAAACAATGACCATGTTTATAATCCACTTCAGGTAATAAAAAAGAGAAATAACGAAAGGATAAATAGTAATGAAAATGAAAATGATATAGAAAATAGTGAATTCGATAATGAAAATTCTATAATAATAGCGCAACAAAAAAGAAATCGTCATAGTATATGGCAAGTCTCACATATTGAAATTTTAAAGGAATATGAACAAAACAACAACAACAACGATAACAATAATAAAACTGTTATTAGTTTAATAAATATAACCGATACTAACACAACAAAAGAACAAAAAGATGACCAATTAAATAATGATGATTACATTTTAGAAGAGAATCCAATAGCCTCCTCTCCAAACGATCATCAACTTGTTCGTGCCACTACAGAACCAATTCTACACAATAATACCAATAATTCAAAACGGCGATTATCACAGATTTTTATTCCTCCTTCATCATCATCGCCATCGTTGTCGTCGCTGTCACCACCTGCTGATAAACATGTAGTTGTTAATTCAGAAAACAATGAAAACCTTCTACAAAAAAGATCAAAAACACTAAGTATGAATAACATATATTCATCCAAAGAGGATCCTAACAACAAATATAGACGATTGTCATTGCATTTACTTAAATGGATGGATAAAAAAATCACCAATAACAATAATAGCAACAATAGTAGTAACAATAGTAGTAATAATAATAGCAATATTAATATTAATAATGATATTATTGATGATCTAGCAGAATCTAATGAAACTGTTAATACTGATGATACTACGATAATAAAAACTCAATCACCATTACAAAAAATGAATGATTTTCCAACGTCTTCTGGTGAAATAATGAATTCTGTTGAAGACGCGCAAAAATCTCAAGAAAAATTAAATAATAGCATCATATATACAATTCAAGATTATGATGAATCCTCGGATGCAAGGTTTATGGAAAATGATTATGAGAATACAACAAGAATAAAAAATGTTTTGGATGATAATTTTATAAATGATAATAGCTCTAGTAAAGATGATGATTCCATTTATACTTCCATTGGTTTTAGTAGATCTTCTTCATTTTCAACTAGACATTCTATGGATGATTCAATAAAGGTATCATCAAATTCAATTATTATGTAATTGAGTACGTGATAATTTTCTTAACATGAAATATTTCTTGTTATTATTAAAATTTCAAAGGATTCTCCTTTAGGAGATTCAACATTATTGAACTCAAAAAAGAATGGGAATAATTTGGATTCTTCAAACATTAAAGAATCTTCTCAAAAATACAACAACAGCAACAACAAAGATGACCAACCAAATCATTCATTTAGCGATATTGAAGCAACCGATAATGTTATGGAATTTGGTGGGCAAAACATAGATTTACAATTATATTTATTTATTTCTTCTCTGAAATTGTCAATCTTTATATTTATTATCTATTGATTATCAATAATAACAATAAATTAGATGAAAATGCGAAAGAAAATAGTAATGATGGTCCAAGGTTATCTGGAGAAACAATTCTTGTTAATACTGATATACTTCCTAATAAACTGATTGATTTAATCTACACATATCAGGAGAAGGGGTTAATATCTCCAGCAGAAAAAAATGAAAGATATAGTAAATTAATTTAGTTGATTAAATAATTAGTTGGTTTATTATCAAAAGATTTTTTTGTTCATTCGTTAGTTTATCTAATGAATATTGTGATTTGTAATTTTAGTTGAGCTAGATTTTGGTTTGAATGAAGTTTTCAAATTCAAAAGGTCGATTCATCACGGAGGTAAAAAAAATTGATTCAATTATATAAATCAATATCTATTTTACTAATTTCATTTTGGTAATTAATAGTGAATTCATTAAATTTGGATGTTTCACTTCTTGGAGATACAAATAAAGATTATCAAAGGTACAAATTGCATTTTAAAAAAATATTGGATTTTTTTTTCTAATAATTTAAATTATCTATCAGCTTTGTTCAACAAGAAATAGATGAATCGTTGCGCAGATGTGATACTTATATTCAAGATGCAACTAAATTCTTAGAAACATATAGGGTAAATGGGAGTCTATTGAATTATTGGATTGGTGAACTAATTAATAACCATTATGTATATATATAATTTAGGAAAAACTTTCTGTTAAGGAAAATGCTATACAAAAAAATGATTATTACTCATTGGAATCAAATAATTTTATAATTGCTAAACATTCTAAAACAAAAGGTCAATCTTTATATGAATTAAAAGATAGTATTGATATAGGAGCAAATTCTTTAAATGATAAGCTTGATAATATCGACAATGTGTTAAATGATCTTGAAGATCAGCATAGCAGGCAAATATTATATTTTATAGCCTTCAAGTCTTGTTTTATGTTATAAACAATCAATTGGTTATTGATTATTTTTTGGCATTTTAGCTTTTCAAAAGAAATGAAAGAAATGACCTTTGATGTCAATAATGATTACTTTCATGAGGTTAATACACACACACATATATATCTTTATATATTATATATTATAATAATCACAATAATAATCTTTTTTCTTGTGTAGTTGAAAATACTTGAAGACGAAATTCAGCTTTTAGACACTGAAAGAGGAAAATCATCTTGGGAAGATTATTTTTATTTGATAATGTCATATGTTCTTACAGGTTAGTAGTAATGATGCTTTTAAATTATATATAATTACGATTATGCTAAAACGTTAATATCTTTTTTATTTTGAAATAATAGTTATAATGTTTTTATTTTGGTTCATTGTGGCTTGTTTCAAGCTATGTAAAAGAATCTTATTTTTACCTCGTACAACTTGGAGATTCTTTATTAAATACAACACCATCGCTCATTCTATATCATAATTTGCATTTTCATTAATCATTCCATTGTGTGGAATGACAATTAAATAATTTGCTAAAAATCTTGTCACCTTAAAGTTCAATACGAAATAAAAATTTATTAATGAGCAAAAAATTTAAAACAATAATCCTTTTTGATCATATCAAGAAGAAAATTAAGCGATTAATCGACAGTGGTCCTCGTTTAAATTATTAGGTCAAATAACTAACTTTGATTGGAAGGATAATCAAGGTTTCAGAATCCAGATGATTCATCATTAAGAATAATTTTGCGTCGAGCATGAATTCCACTTCCCTATCTAAATTTTCTTTGCTAATGGTGAACTTATACTCCCGTAGTTTTATAGAATTGAATATATATATATATACGGGATTATATCCAAAATTTATACAAGTGTATTGTTGATTTGATCAAAATTTAATATCTAGTTGACCGTCCATTTTTGGCGATGCGTCTTGGGAATACTATCAATTAATTTCAAATATTTATGTTTCGCGTGAAATTTGATGATTTTCTAATTCATTTTTATTGTTTAGATGTGTGGGACGTTTTTTTAATTTTCTACCAAGCTCATCATCCCATAGATGTTTAGTTAGATTAAAGTCTGGAGACCTTTTTTTTAGATAACCATTTTACTCTGTGTCACCTTGAAATGAAATTTGTAATGATTAGTAGAAAAATTTTCTTAAATGAATAGCAACAATGGATTCTCTAAAATATTAATATAATCTTTGATGATTGGTCTTTCCATTTACTCTTACTAATGATCCTAATACTTTAACTGTAAAGCAACCCCAAACTGTAATTCTTCCTCCACTATTATTTACAAATTTTCAATATTAAAACAAGTTTCATTTTTGTGCCAAATTCATGTTGGTCCATCGCTACCAAATATTGTAAAGCGACACTCATCACTTCATATGCATTCCTCCAGTTTCGCCCATTCAAATCGATTCCGATGTTGATTTTCATTCAGAAGTGGTTTTTTGTTGCATTGGGCGAATTTAAGTCAACTTGATACAAATTTCTATAAATCGGTTTAATCGAATTTTTTATATTATTTGTTCTTTGTTTGCTTATAAATCTGAATGGTTGCACAATCGACTGTAAAACCACTAATTTCTTTTCTAGTGCGTTTGTTTACCTTTGAAAAGAACAATGATCTAAGATCTTTCAGTTACAATATGTTCGCGATTTTTATCCATTTTTTTAATAAAAAACATTTGAAGATTTTAACATCGTTTTTATTTTTATTTATTTTTGTGATTGCAAGAATCAGAGCTTTATAGGATTAATTAAATCAATATTCTTGGTATTCAATACAATTTTTCTTTTACTACTCATCATTCATTATATTGGTGCAAAGATTACGGCATTTCGGGTATTTGCAGTATTTTGCTCTTGTATTCGTAAATCTCCTGATGGATTATTGACCTTGATGTATAAGTTGGTCTTGGTCTTGATTTTATTCATTTTCTGCATAAATTAAGTGTAACAAATAAATGATTTGATATCCCATAATAAAATTAGATTGATTAGATTAGAGATTCTTTTTTATCAATACGGTTTACACAAGATTTATTTGTATAAATTAACGCCTTTTTTCTTTCTCTTTTTTAATATAAAAAATTTAATCAATTATTTAATAATATGGCACTATTTAAACGTCTTGATCCATTAAATCCAGAGTCTTTCAAACATAAATTCTCATTTGTAAATGGAATTACATACCGTAAATTATCAAGACGCATTTATGTATGTATATATATGTTTCCAAAATTTATAAATTTTCTTTTATAATTATTAGATTATGTTGATGAAGGAGAAGAAATTTTAAAGAAGGAAGTAATATTTCTATGTCATGGGTTTCCTGATTTATGGTATGGCTGGAGGTATCAAATACCTTTTTTGGTGTCTAAAGGATACAGAGTTATTGTTCCTGATCTTCGTGGATGTGGACAAACTGTGAGTGAAAAAAAATCTCTTAGGAACTTCTTTTACAAATATATAATTTATCAATTATTTCCTCATGTTTTCCTCAATATCATTGCCATTTTTTTCATATCAAGGAAGCACCTCATTGCCCACCAAATGATCTACACCAATATGGATTTAAAAATATTTGCAAAGATATGACTGAATTGATGAATCAATTGAATATTCCAAAGGCTATATTTTTGGGTCATGATTGGGGAGGATTTTTAGCATGGAGGATGTGCATACATTATCCTGACAGAGTTAGAGCTGTTATAAGGTTAAATCAAGATGTTTCTTTTGCTATTGACACTACTACTATTATTGATTAATATATTTATCTGTTTTAATTAGTATCTGTACACCATACACACCACCACGGGAGAATTATATAAAAATTGAATCTATAGCAGAATTGTTACCAAATCTTTCATACCAAGTTTATCTTTCCCACCCTAAAGCAGAAATTGAATTAGATAATAATGTAAATAGCAAAATTATAAATACATATATATCTATTTTTTTAATGATAATAATCAATAATTAATTGGTTAATGACAATATTGATTTATTAGACAGAATTATTTCTTAAAAGTATTTTCCGTTCTTCCAAACATGAGCATCATGTAGTTCTTTTTGATGGAAATTCTATGTTGGGCGATGCAGTACATGATGTGCCAAGAAGTTCAATAATTAGTCAAAAGGTATCAATTAATTTTTATTGTGAATTTACTTATTTATTTTATTAAATTTTCTTAAAAGTCATTATTTAGGAATTGGATTATTATGTGAGACAATATAAATCAAATGGATTTCATGGTGGCCTGAATTATTATAAAACAAGAAAAGTCAACTTTCAAGATGAGAAAGGTTTCAATTAAATGATTAATCATCTATTTTTTTTGGAATAGTTTGTGTTGATTAATTATAATACTTTTTCATGTTTAGGCACAAGAAAACAAATTAATCATCCATCATTAATGGTAACAAATTTATGTTAATAAATTTATGAATCATGAATATATTTCTAAATGCATATTTTTTTGTTCTGATATTTCAAATAGATTACTGTTGGTAAAGATTTAGCTTTGCCACCAAGTATGGCTAAAGGAATGAATAAATTTTGTATTAATTTAACAGTAAAGGTAAAAATGAATTAATTTCTATAATTAACAAATTAATATTCATATTTAATTCAGGTATTGATTATAAAACAATCTTTTGGGTGTGTTATAGCACATCGAAGAATCCGGGCATTGGGTTATGATAGAAAAAACAAATGAATTAAATCAAATATTAGAAGATTATTTAAATGATTTAGAATTAATTGAAAAGAAACTTCAAAATATCAATAATCATCATAATCATCATCATCATAACAACAACGACAAAAATAAACCTAAATTATAAGAAAATATGTTATAGATTTCAAGGAGAAATAGGCTATATTGATCGAAAAATTTAGAATTTAGTTTTTAACATCACAATAAAACATAGAATGATTTGAGGAAAAATTTTGTCTAGGGATTTAAAAGTAAAATTCAGCTTGGTAGATCATTCTCCCATGGCCACATGGCGCAGCAGTGAAGAAACTTGGTAATTTGTAACATAATTTTCACTTTTAACCACAGAAAAAGGTACCATTTCATTTATAACCCCAGTTAGTTAGATGATTGTCTATTGTGAAACTTTAGATAAAGTCCAATTGTTGTTTACTTGATTATAGTTCATTTTGTTTTCAAGCCATTTATGAACATCTCTTAGATGTGTAGGAAGATTGTTGGGTGCTAGTGGTTAATGACAAATGTTACAAACAGATCTTTTCATAGTAGTTTTTGATCAATTCGTCTGAAATGTAGATCAAAGAAAAAATCCGTTAATCGCTATAAATAATAAGCCCAATTAATATTTTACATTGTCTGATCTGATCTTTGAATATAATCTCATTTCCTAAATAATTTTGCATAAACATTTTTTTAAAAAAATATTCTATTCTAAAAACTTTCATGAAGAACAATAGTAAATGTGTATTGCCCAATAAGAGTGCAAACTCGAAAGTTATATTAATCATACAGCATATATATGCCATGTTAATATAAACAAGTGCTGTGTGTTCATAATTAAACGCTGCCTGCTTTTTGTGATGTTGACTAAATCTGATTTGTTCGAGGAATATTTTAAGCTTCTATTCCATTATATTGAAGATTTTCAACATATCCTTGAGCAAGTATTTTTACTTTCTTCTATATTGGCAACCAGTTGAAAATGCATGCTTCGAAATAAAACGATTATTTCTTATTTTTAACTTTCCTCTGCCGATCACTATTACTGTAAGACTCATTCATATGTTTATCTAAACTTCTACAAAATTTGAAAAATGTCATATGTTCGAAGTATGCGTATCTTTTTATTTTACTTTAATTATATATATAATAATAACAATTAATTTATTACTTGCCTTGATATTAGAAAGTATTTTTGCTTGTGCCCCGGCTACTGTTCGAGGACAGGCAGTTCAACTTGGTTCTGATCCAAAAGGCGAAAACTTTCTTTACGCCAATGGAAATTCTATTATTATTAGGAATTTAGCTGTTGGTATCCTTTAATTTTTCTATCTTCTATATTGTATACAATAATATTGATAATAAAAAAATTAATTTTAAAATTTTAGAATCCTGCTATTTCTAATGAATATGTACAACATTCTGCAGCAACTACCGTTGCTCGTTATTCACCTAGTGGTTATTATATAGCATCTGGTGGTAAATAATAAAATAAGCAAAGACATGAATTTTTATTTGAAATGTTTATTTATCATGTAAATACAGCAATAATAACTGTTTAGACTATATTTATATATATACATATATGTTTAACAAGATATTCATGGAAATGTTAGAATATGGGATGCAACTCAACCTGAACAAATTTTAAAAAATGAAGTAAAAGTAATTGCAGGAAAAATTAATGATCTATCTTGGGATTCTGAAAGCAAAAGAATTATTGCTGTTGGTGATGGTAAAGAAAAGTAAGTCAAAAATCTGTGATGATTTATTTAACGAGTAATATATAACCATCTATCTAACCATCTATTTATTTATGCGATAATAATTAAATCCTAAAATAAACAAAAAGATATGGACGTGCGTTTTTGTTTGACACTGGATCTTCTACTGGAGAAGTAGGCGGACATTCAAAGGTGGTTAATACTGTTAGTATTCGTCAACAAAGACCTTTCCGTGCTGCTACAGGGTCTGATGATTACACTGTAGTATTTTATCATGGTGCACCATACAAATACAACATGACGATTAAAGATCATACTTCCTTTGTTCAAGGAGTAAAGTTTTCTCCTAATGGTGACACACTTGTAACAGTTGGATCCAATAAAGTATGAATTTCTTTGTGAATATTATTGTAAAACCATTTATTTTATATTTAATCGATTTACTTTAATCTGATTCTAATTGTTTGATTATAATAATAATAGATATTTTTATATAATGGAACAACTGGAGAAAAATTGATTGATCTTTCAGAGAAGGCAGGAGAATCTGATTCTCACAAAGGCAGTATTTATGCTGTCTCGTGGTCACCTGATAGCAAACAATTGTTGACATCATCGGTAGATCGTACTGTTAAACTTTGGGATGTCGAAGGACAAAAGGTTATTCAGTAAGTTCATTCACGTTATTCATATTGTGGAAATTATTATTACATGAACATATATTTTTTATATATTTATTTATTATTGTTTTTGATCAAAGAACTTTTAAATTTTCCGACTCAATTGATGACCAGCAAGTTGGTAATTTATGGCAAGGAGAATATATTCTTAGCCTTTCATTATCAGGTGATATTAATTATTTAGATTTAAAGTCGCCATCACCTGTAAAAGTAGTTAAGGTAAAGCTATATTTAAAGTATATTATCATTATTATTTTATTAAAATATATAATTATAATCATTATTTTTAAATTGATAAATAATTTGCCACAGGGACATCAAAAAGCAATTACTGCACTTACACGTGACAAAGATGGAACATTATTTACTGGAAGTTATGATGGTCGAATATATATCCTTCTATTTTTTCTAATTGTCAGTTATGCTAAACAATAATTACTATAATTATATTATAAAAAAAGATTTGTTTAACCTTAATTTATTACTTACATTCTTGGAGTGCAGAGGAAGGAAGTAGTAAATCAATTAATGGTCAAGGACATACAAATCAAATTGTTCAAATAATTTCTCAAGGAAATAAAATAGTTTCAGTTGGAATGGATGATAAGGTTAAATTTATTGATAATTCTACAAAAACTTTCAAGTAAGTAAATGGTTATAAATAACATTTATATTGACTAATTTAAATTCTTATTTTAAATTCTTATTTTTTTCTTATTGAAAGAGATTCATCAGTACCAACTGGAGCTCTCACCAAAGGAATTACAAGTGTAAACGATGATGATGACAAGATCATTATTGCCACTTTATCTGATATACAAATTATTCAAAATGATCAAAGTATATTTAGTCATCCTTTATCTACTTCTTCGCCTGGAGCTATTGCTTTCAATAAACATAATAATGAATTAGCTGTTGGTTGTGAAGTATGTAATATATATATATATTAAATTCGAATTTGAATTCGAATAATAGCAACTAAACAATTAGTAATTAATATTTAGGATGCAAAAGTTTATATTTATAAATTGAATGATGATGGTAATAAACTCGAAGAACGAAATGAAAAATTGAGCAATGCCAATCGAAGTCCTATTACAGCAATTGCTTACTCGCCTGATGGAACGCTTATAGCCGTAGGCAATTCTCAAGGAAAAATAATTGTTTATGACAATGAAACCAAAAAAGTCAAAATAGATCAATGGATATTACATACTGCTAGAGTTAATGCGATTGCCTGGTCACCGGATGGACTTCATGCGGCTAGTTGTTCCTTGGATACAAGCATTTGCGTTTGGAGTGTAGAAAATCCATCAAAACGAATATTGATCCCAAGGACTCACCAAGATAATGTTACCGGTTTAACATTCTTAGATGATGACAACAATACATTATATTCTGTTGGCCAAGATGCATGTTTAAAAGCTTGGTCAATCAAATATCATTAAATTATTAAAAAAAAAAAAGATTATTTATTTTTATACATATATAAATAAATTTATATTTTTGTTTAAACCTTTCAGGGTACTGAAATTAATATGTGCTGATATCTTCTGTGAATGAGGTGTTTCCTACGTGAAAACCTTTTATATTCTTCCTTAATTTTTTAGATAGAAATATTCATTGATGTATGTTGTGCGTGAAAATGAAATCTGTGAAATTCAAATTAGCCAATCAGAATTTCATATCCAAACACCCCACCCCAAAATTTTAATTATAATTGTGTAAAAATTGACAATTAGCAATTTAAATCCAAATCTGCGTTTCGTACATAGATAGAAAAACTAGGTTCGATTCAATCCGAATCGAACCGGATTCCTAAATTTCCTTTAAAGTCATGTTAATAGGATTTCTATTTAAATAAAGTTATTTGAATGATTTGATTTATTTGTTATAAAACGAATAATTCGAATAAGAATTTGTATTACTATTACGGACACCTACATATTATATTAATAATGATGACAAATAAGAAGTAATATAATTTACGGTCATTGTTTTAAATATTCATCATAAATATAACAATGATGAATGATTATAATTGCATTGTTGAAAACGATTCCTCTTCAATTACTTTTCTTCAACAGGTACAGTGCAATGTGCTCAAAGAAGAACAAGAAGTGAAGTGTGGAACCATTTCACAGTTCTAGATGAGAGAGCCAAATGCATTTATTGCGTTAAGTGGTTTTTTTTTTTTTTTGACTTTCAAAGCCGTTATTTATTTCCAAGGCAACTCTTTTAGAATTCAAATTATTTCATATGGTATAAGTCAAGGTTCGAATTTCATTGAATTCATTCGGAGTTTTAGTGTCTGATTTAGAATTATCATTTGCCTATCAATGCAAATGCCTTTCTGTTATCTCTTGTGATACTTGATTTCGATAGACTATAACTAGCAAATTGGACAATTTTATAGCCTGCACATATAATAAAAAAAGATTATCATTTGCAATCACAAAATTAAGAAGCGAAGGTTTTCGTAATGAATAGAATGGAATATTATAATAAATATAAAGTCATACAGTAAAGGAAGTGTAGATCAAAATAAAATTATTTTAATGATTAATAATAACGATTAATGATAAACAGACAAAAAAAAACCAACTTATCTAGTAGGTAATCTGTATTTGTCGAGTACCACATTTTCAATTACTGGTAATAGTTGCTGCTACCATAATCATAGTTGTGGTTATGGTTAAACATGCTCTATTTTTAGATCTCGTGATCACAATACATTTTAATTTTATTAAAAATTATGAAATATTTAAATGAAAAGCAAAAATTGGGAACTTTAAAATGAACATTTTTTTGATATTATAATAACAAGAAAGAATGAACTTGGAAATATTTGAACTGGTGTGAGAAAAGGGGGATAAGTTGGCAATTTTTTTAAAATATATTTTTATAAATATTATAAATTTTTCCAAATCAATTAATACAATTATTGATCTATTGATCTATTGATCTATTGATTTTTAGGATTTCTATTTCACATTAATTATTATCATTTTCATCTTTGTCATCATCATCGTCATCATGATCTTCTTCTTCTTTTTCTTCTTCTTCGTCACTGCTGTGATATATTTGATGATTAGGATTTCTAGTTAACAAATCATTGTTTCCATTATCTTTTAGTATTTAAAATATAAAAATAAATTTATTACTTAATTTTTCAAAAAATGTGTATCAATATAATGATATGTAAAGAATATAAATGTATACTTTTACGTGAATCGTTGTATTCTTGTTCAATTTGTTCCAACCATTCGCATTGAACTTTTACAACTTCAGTAGAATCTTTACAATTGGAATATTTATTTAATAATTCTCTAACAACAACAACAATAATAATGTAAAATTATTATATAAATATAGATTGCTAGTATATAGATGCTTCAAAAATAATAATTATTTTTGATTTACCCATTGACTTTATAAAATTCATCACCCCATTTAAATTTACATAATAATTTTTCTGCATATTCAGGAAATCCTGATGTTAATAATAATATTAATTTAATCCCTGGATTTTCATAATCATGTATGTATATATAAATATATGTGAAATATATGTACCTGTAATATATAGACAGGCAGCCAATGCTTCAACACAATTTAACTTCCAAGGTTTACCATAATTAACAGGGTTAGTTGCAACTAAATATGGAACTTGAAAATTATTTAACAAGTTAGCCACCTAACTATCTAATCAAATCAATTAATTCGTTCCTTTATTCAGCTTACGTAATCTATTGTGATTTGCTTTTAATTTGGTAAAAGGCACATCATCCAGCTTTGCCCAAGAACATTCTATCACTGCTATACCAAAGTCTTTTATGATATCTTTATCAGCAGGGGAAACTGCCCTTTGGCCTTGTGGACTAAAATAAATTAA